GAAAGGAGAAGAACAAGAGGGGAAGGAAAAATGAGTTTTTGTTCGTGTTTTTTCGCCCTAGGTTCGTCCCCAGGAGGGGGAGAGAATGAATCCTCAATCGTTCAAAAAATCTGCTTTTAAAACCTGTTTTCGCGACCTCCGCGGCCGCGACTTGCTCCGCGGCCGCGAGAAATAGCTGCAGCAATTTTTGGGTTCGCGGCCTCCGCGGCCGCGGAGGTATTCCCGCGGCCGCGGAGAAAGTTGGCTGCACTGCGCGGCTTCACGGTTTTGCTTCGTTTGAGCTTGTCCGAACTCGGAATTGAGTTCCGTTTTTTCCTACGCGTAGCTAACGAACCCCTCTATCTAATGATGTAAGCTTCCCCAAAAATTTCCCAGAAACCTGTTCTCCCGAAGCTCCCGACCTACACACCAAAAACGAAAACACAAACGGAAGACTACCGGAAAAAAAACATAAAAATTACCGGGGCACTCAAGACAACACAAAACACACAATAAACGACAAAATGAACCTAAAACCAACTAAATGACTCAAAATTAGGGAAAAAGAATGAGAAAATAATAACGAAAAATGCAACAAAAATGGGACAAACAAATAACTTAGGGAAATATTTCGGCATGCCAATCCTTCACGAGCGCATGACTAAAGCCACGTACTCACACCTGTTGGAGAAGACGGAGTTATGGTTAGCCGGGTGGCGCACGAAATTATTATCTTTAGCCGGTCGAGTGACGCTTACACATTCGGCCCTAAGCACGCTTCCATATTACTCGATGCAATCCACTATGCTTCCGAAGGCAGTCACGGATGGCCTCGAACGGAAATGTCGGTCCTTTGTGTGGGGTGGCTCGGACGAGAGGAGAAAAGTCCACTTGTTACCTTGGAAAGAAGTGTGCAGACAGGAAAATGAGGGCGGCCTGGGGGTGAAAGACCTCTCTCGTATGAACAAGGCTCTCTTAATGAAGTTGTGCTGGGGGCTTCTGATTAACTCGTACGCCCTTTGGGTACAAGTGTTATCGACCAAGTACGGGCTAGACTTACTCGCATCTAGGGTTTTGCGATATAAGCGACAGGGTTCCAATTTGATACGAGCACTCAGTGGCATATGGCCACTTTTTGTTAATTGCATTAGATGGGTACTGGGCGATGGAGAAACAACAAGATTTTGGCTCGATAGCTGCTCGATTCTAGTGGTCCGCTCATAAGATTCGTTAGCCCTCACGTACAATTGGTGAATTTGGACGACACGGTGGCGAAGTTTGTGGGTGACGATGGAAACTGGAGATGGGACAACCTGCACGGTCTCCTCCCCTCATCCGTAATTCTCCGTATTGCCGGAACTCTCCCCCCACGTGCGGAGGCGGGAGAGGATCGCATTATCTGGGGCATCTCCGCTGACGGTAAGTTTTCCACAAAAACGGCATATCAGGCCCTCTCGACCACTGATAATAGCGACGCTCAACCAATATGAAAAATGATATGGCGCGCTCCCGCGCCACAGCGGGCCCGAACTTTGCTCTGGCTCGTCACTAAGGATCGCATTCTGACCAATGCCGAGCGCGTGAAAAGGCACATTTCGGCTTCATCGGCATGTGAGCTTTGTGGAGAAACTGAGACAACCCTTCACGTAATTAGGGACTGCCGGCCTGCCAAGGAGGTGTGGAACAAGTTACTGCCGGTGGCCGACATGAGCGATTTTTTCCAGCTACAGCTCAAGCCTTGGATCCGCTTTAATCTGGTGAAGTCACATTGGGGTTCGTGGGCGAACTGGAGCAGCACTTTCACTATTGGCGTATGGTGTTTGTGGAAATGGCGAAATGCACGGGTGTTCCAAAAAGTCACGCTTGGTGCTGAGTTACGAAGGGCGAAGGTGACGAGATTGACGGAAAGTTATTCCCGAGCTACGGCTGAGTACATCAAAGTTGGAGCTGCAGTGCATGTTACCCGCATGATCCGGTGGATTCCGCCCGACCGAGGATGGATTAAAGTTAACACTGATGGGGCTCATCAAAGGACAACGGGATTGAGTTGTGCGGGGGACCTGCTTAGGGACGAAAACGGTCGCTGGATCGAAGGATTCCTAATGAATATAGGGGCATGCTCCATAACAGGGGCAGAACTGTGGGGCTTATTTCAAGGCTTACAGCTGGCTTGGGACCTAGGCTTTCGTCAGATTATCGTGGAGGTGGATAGCCAATGTGCGAAGAATATGGTTACTGGGGCTGACGACGATCTCGGGGCTCATACGGCGATCGTACGGGTTATCCGGAGCATGCTACAGTACGATTGGAGTGTACGTATCCTCCACGTGCACAGAGAAGCTAATTGTGCGGCGGGACTACATGGCAAGTGTGGCGGCATCGTATCCGCTCGGGCTACATCGTATTTCAGTTCCTCCGGACGGGCTAGGACATTGGATTGATCATGATCTTATGGGGGTATCCTATCCCCGACGTATTCTCATTTAAACACTCGAGGCTTTGGCCTCCTTCTTTGTATAAAAAAAAATAATAATAATAATAATAATAATAATAAAAATAAATCGGACGTTAGAATCTAGAAAGGTAGATATATGGGTTGGTGCCCCTGGCTGAGATTGGGCCCTAGGCTGTCGCCTAGGTTGCCCTGGGCCAGGGCCGGCCCTGCAATCCTGCTCGATAAGGCCAATGCTCGATTTGGCTTGGCTCGACTCGTTTGCAGCTCTCTTATTCTACACTAATACAAATGAATACACAAATTTGGACATAATATATAATGAACATATGCCCATATTATTCATACATGACATGATAATGTCATTTTCCAAATTACATCACTTTCAAAAGAACAAGATATATAATTTGATAATCATAATATTTGGATTTGTTGCTAAATTTCATCCTGCATGCTTAATTACATGGAGTTTTAACAATAACACACAAGAATATGTGCCACTGTATGTGATATCTGATGGCTAAAAGTTTTAAAAAAGCGCACAAATCAAGGCTATTTCAAGTGTAATTAAACAGTGCATTGATGATAGCAAATGGTCAAATTATGGTCAAATTAAAGATAGATGATGTCACGAATATGTGAAATGGTAAATAAAAGTCAGTAAATAAACAAGTTCGTGTTAAAATTAAACATTGCTTGATAAACTAGCTCTGTCAGAATTCATCAGTGATGAGTGATGACCAATGAAGGTACTCAATGTGCACGCTTTATGGATTGTACATTTGTGCTCTCGCTTCTGGTACAAGTCAACATATCATAAGTCAACAAAATAGTCCAAAGCATGAGTAGATAACTTGTGTAATTTTTATTTTTATTTTTATTTTTATTTTTATTTTTCACTTTGTTATCTTTAAATGGACGCTGGGATTGGAGTGCAATAGCCCAAATAGTGTAGGAGCATACGTAGGAGCCCAAAACTTTGTTTATTTTTCATATATCTACTACAGCCCAAATGGCTGATAGGCCACGGTTCATTAATTGGGTGTCACCTTTTACCGGTCCTAAAATCTTGCATTCAATGAATTGAAGAGGTGACGAGACCAAAATGTTGCTATAAAATTAACTGGTTGGTTTCCTTATGGAACCAACACCCAATGATTTTGCTAACGATTTTGCTTGGGTGTTGGTTGGTTCCATAAGGGAACCAACCAGTTGGTTTTACAGCAACATTGGACGAGACCATAAATAAAAAGAGAAATATGAAGTTTTCAATTTATTTGCAAATAGACTAACTTTTACATTTTATGAATATAGTTACGGCATGTTTCGGTGTAGATTTTTTTTTGGTTCTGATCGGTTTTTTTTGGTTAATTATAGTTAATTTTAAAAAGTTAGTTGACTTAGGTTTGAGTGAGTTTGTATTTATGTTAAAATAATATTTAGAATAAAATAATTAAAGTTGATTTGATGTAAAAGTAGGAGAAAAGTGATTTAAAGTGATATATAGTTAAATTTATATGATGAATAGTGAATTCAAGTTGATTTGATTTGTAAGGATGAGTGATTGATATTATTTAAGTATATTGACAATATTAAGGATAATAGAAGCTGAGTTAAAGTTTATTTAGATTTAAGTTTGGATTGAAGTTTAAAAATTTATAAACAAGCAAGCTCTTAGGGGGTGATTGTTGACAAAATAATTTACTCACTTTTATTTCAACTCAAAATCTAACTCAATTTTAACTCAACCCCACTATCTTTAATATTATTCATATAATTAAATAATACAAACCAATCATACTTACACATCACATCAACTTTAATTCACTATTCATCCACTCACATAATTTTAACTACCTATAATTTTCAATCATTTATCTCTTACTTTTACATCAAATCAATTTTAATTATTTTATTTTAAATATTATTTTAATACATTCTTAAAATTCCACTACAACTAACCATACCACTTTTTTCAAAATTAACTATAGTTAACCAAAATAACTCAATTTGAACAAATTATTTCATAAACAATCAAGCCCTTAACTTCTTGTTTATTTTTATCATCGATTTTTAAATGCACTATATTTTGGTTTACAACCCAATTTATGTATAATTTTATTTCAAAATATCGGATTCCTGTATAACAAGCAAGCTTATTTCGTTAACTTGTCAAGCCATCCATGGATTCAGCATTTTCACATTAAACAAGCATTTAACGGAAAATAATTCCAATAATATTCACTCGAAAACAACTTATCTATTCAAGAAAAAGCGAATTATTCAACTTCAAAACAGCAGCTAAAAAGCTAACAAGCTGGAACCATGTTAATGCTTCACAAAAACGAACACTAACATATGGAAGCAGCTAAATCACCAGGAAAACAAAAAATGCACACTAATCGTAAAATAGATCCTTGAACAATGCAGATGAACGAGCTTATCCACTAAAATCGGCGGCCCTTCACTTCCACAAGTTAGTATTTTGAGTAAAATAAACACAAAACATGACCAATCTTAACATTGCCAAAGAACCCCCATGCAGCTAAAAAAGAACTCTTGAGGCGAATTATGGCTTTTTCTCGGTCAATATATCCAATTCTATCTGAGAATCACGGCATTCGGTAGAGCAAAATGCGCAGAGGTCTCTGCACGAAATCGTACATCCGAATAAACGAATATATGAGGATTCACACAAGATATTTGTATATTTTGATGGACTTCATCAAATTTCAAAGTCATGACAATTACAAGAGTAGACTTAAAAGTAGGTGCAAAGCACTTAAAAAATAAGTGATGGAAAAAAAATGCACACTAATCGAAAGTGATGGAAATCAAATGCATGCCAACCTAATTTGTTATTATTACTTTGTTGATGAAGAAAACTATCAAATGGAACACTACAGAGGATCAATATTAGCTAAATTCTGTTGGGAAAATTGAATAGTAACACAGAAAATAGAACAAATTGTTCTTAATCTAAACAGATCGAATATAACAAATCAAAATCAGGAATAAAATTCGAATAAATGAGGGCAAAAAATCAGATCAAATGAAAATATGTATAGTAGCGAAAAACACAGATCAAATCGAAAAGGATGCGTAGCATAAAAACAAATGCCTAAAAAATAAGCAGCAAAATTTTAATCTCAGTTGCGTTCTAGCCAAAATTTGCAGAACATACACATGCCAGCAGCAAAATTTGCATAACAAATCGTTCACAAACAACAAATTAATAAACAAAATAACGTTCTATTTATCAATTAACCACAACAATTGAATAAATAAATAACAACAAGTCAACAACAAAGCTTACCTGTACATGTAAACTTCAGAATTCTGAGGAATCCGCTTCCTGCAGTAGTGGCACCGTTCGAGAAATCCACCAATCCTCGCGTTCTCAGGCTCCCCCGATCTCACCGGAGACGCGCCGGTCGTGAAGCTCGGAGTCGGCGTCGGAGGTGGAGGTGAGGCGCCGTCAATTTTCATTGCCTTCGCCGAGGCGCCGCCTCCGGCGGCGAATGCGACCGTCGCGTCGACGCAACTCGACGGATTCACGGCTCTGCTCCTCTTCACCGGCATTATCAAAACTGGATCGGAGATCGACCGGAGGGGCGCGAGCTAGGGTTTTGGAATTTGGAGGAGAAAAAAAAAAACAAAACACACTGTCTGCGTGATACTGAACAGAAAATCACGGAATGATAAGAAGAGAATTGTAAGTGTTGAAAATAATGATAAAATCGAAAAGGCGCTAGTTTGGCTCTGTTTATGTATAGGGCCTCCGTGGGGCCCAGATTTTGGCGTTTTCCAACTAACCGTAAAACGCGTTTTTTTTCTTTTTTTTAATTCATAGGAAGTCTATATAATCCACTCAAAGATTTTGTAATTTTATGAGCAAGATCTAATTATTTGTGGGTTGAAACTTGAACGTTATATTTTTCATTTTAATTAAAAATATATATTTATGTTATAAAATATCATAATTTTATAGTTATTATGTTATTAGTATAATACTCGTAATTATAAAGGGTGCTAGGTAAAAAAATTATACTGACTTTTTAAGAAAACGTAAGAGAGAAGTTTTTTTAAAAAAAAAAAAAAAATTAAATAAATACCTTTTAAAAATTTGTATTATTATTTATATTTATAATTGAGACTTTTCACTTTTATAATTTTTCTCGTTTTGTATAATAATAATTTTTGTAATTCGTATATAACAAATTTTGATAATTGATATTGATATTAATATATGATTTAATTTAATAAAAAAAATGATAATTATTTTATTTATTTTATGTATGAGTGGAATAACAAAATCGAAACTCGTTCAATAGATATAAAAAGGTATTTAAATTTATTTTTTCTTTAAACGATACAGATTTTATTAAAAAAGAAATGCACAAAAGTGCAAACAAAGATACAACCACAACTAAATGAACCAGGCAAAAACTAAATACTGAGAGGACAAATCCGAAGATAGTCTAGACCTCATACTAGCAGCATTAGAAACGCACCTACGACACGACAAATAAAATTACAAGCTCCAAAATTAAAGAATCACCTATCCCAACGAGGTAATACACAGGTACCACCTGGGAGAAACCAAAATATCCAACCAACAAAAACACAACACCAAGAACAAAAACACTAACAAACAGTCAACACGCCTAACACAAACACGAGCAACCTAACTAAACTAAACAAGAACCAACCCTTCCACAGTCGGGAAACATCAAGAAGCACGTCGAAGACTTCACGGTCGACCACCCACCAGATTGGACCATGCCTCGAGAAGTCGCTCCAGATTTCTCAATTAATCAAGTGTTTTAAAATTTTAAAAGTCAAAATAGGTATGAATAAAACCTAATATCACACGAGTACTTCGAAGCAAACGAAGTAGACACATAGAATTACGAATAATCACATACTCTCTCATATTATTTTTAAATGTCGTTTTGTATTTAACACATAAATTAATAATTTTTCCTTGTCAATATTAGTCTTATTCAAAAGCAAACTAACATTGTTTAATTTTTTTTAGCTTTTTTATTTGCTTTTAAGAGAGAAAGTTCATCGTATTCAACAAATTTTCTCCCAAAACGTGTTTTGTATAAGTTAAGTGAGGGTAACAATTGAAAAATATGTATAAAAGATCCAAGACGTCATTTATTTGATAAATGACAAGTAAACCTAAAATGACAAATAAAAAGAATACGAGGGAGTATATGATTACGAAAGACTAAAAGTCGACAAAATTTATATAGGGGAATAATTTGTGTATGAATGAGTCCAATTATTAGACCCGTTGTACATTTCTTTAATCACAATACATACTTATACTGTGAAATGCCATATTTTTGTTTATGTTATATACAGAGAGAGAGAGAGAGAGAGAGAGAGAGAGAGAGAATAAGTATTTACTAAACATCTATCTATATATAATAAGGATTAACTTATTTCATTTTTAGTAAGAATTTCCCGCCAAAATAATTAATGACTTTCCAAAATAGAATTATCACACACATATTAAATACAAAATAAAAAAAAAAACAAAAAAACAAAAACATTAATTGCTTAAGAAGGGGATCCATGAAAAAATGGATTATGTTTGTATTAATTTTGTCAAAATAATTTTTTAAGGTAAACCATTATTTTTATGGTAACATATTTTTGTGGTACAAGAATTCTATATATACACAAATCTCATTTAATTTGTATATTTCATTTTATCTTTATAAAATAAAGGTAAAATAAATCTCATATAAATCTAAAAAATACTATAGTAAAGTCATATTAGTGTATGGAGAATTATTAAAATTCACTTCATGAAGTCATTACTTTCTAAATCAAAGAAACAATTAATTCTCAAATTAAAAATTAATATTAACAAATAATTGGAATAAAAATGGTAGAAATTTTCTAGAAGCTAAAATATCATGCAATTAAAGAAGGGACAAATAAGAGTTAATTACATAAGAAAATTTGACCATAAAATTTCACTCTAACATATACATAAAATGAAACTAGAATCCATCGTGAATGATACGTATCATCATATGTATAAATCAAAAATCCTTGACCATCTTTTATGGTCCATTTTATTTACATTTCAGCTATAGTTACAGTGATATTTTACCATATGATTTCAACAATTGAAATCCTCGAATTCTTGGAATAAATTTCAACAGAAATTCATTCCAAGAACTATGAAATTTTTGAAAAAATAAAAAAGAATTGCCAGCAAGAGAAGATCCCGAAAATTATATTCTTTTTGTGTAATATCTCTATTTTCTTTTGCTTGTCCTCGGATTTTTGCAGTTTTTTTTATATGGAATAAATTTTTCCTACATCATTTGTAGATTTAATTTTATTTATTTAATATTGTTGTTTTATCCTCTGATTTATATATTTTTGTTTTATGGATATATGTTTGTTTTATTTTACTTTGATAATAAGCATTTTTTTTTATCAATATTTATCATTTTCAACTACAAGGCATACAAACTAAATCAAAATTTTCAACGAACCTTTTTTTTATTGTATCACAATTTTATGGTGAAACATCTTTTTAGGTATACACAAATCAAATTTTATTATTATTTTAATTTTTTATTCGTAATAAAATTTAATTCACACATGTTTCTCATATTAATTGTTTGTACTACAAGATGCTAGAATAAAATAAGATAAATATGAAATGCAATGTCTATGGAAAGCTGATTTACAAGTATTTTTATTCATAAATAAATCTCTTATTTGAACTTAATAATATTTTTTTAATATTGTTATGCAATAGATACAATCTAAAACTCTTTTTAAACGTAACAAATATATTTTAAATATTACATTTTATATTTATTCCAAAGATTAGAATCGAATTGGCCATAAAATGAAACTACGAGTATAGAAAAAATAAACACAAAATCAATGAAAATGCTAAAATAAAAAAGATAAATATGAAATGCGATCTTTATACAAATTTGATTTGCAAGTGTTTATATTCATAAAAATAATCTCTTACTTGAACGTAAGAACTTTTTTTGTATATTGTTATGCAAATACAATCAAATTTATTCCAAATATTGGAATCAATATGATGATTAAATGAGACTAAGAGAATATAAGAGATAAACGTAAAATCCACTAATCATAGTAATAATTTGTTTAATAATACTGCCATAATATTCGGTTCTATTCAACTACAAATTATGCTAACTAAATTTGAGATTTTTAACGATCTTTTTCTTTACGATATCATAATTTTTGCGGTGAAAATCTTTTTTTATTTTGGTATCATCCGAATAAACAAAATATGTGATATTGATACACCAAGAAATATTATCACTTCAATTTCATACCATATTTTTTATTTTGACACGAATGTAAGACTTATAAACATCCAATCAAACTCATACGATAAAAACATCTTATACAAAAATATAAAACCTCATATTGTCAGGGTTAGTCTTTATCGCATATAGTTGTTCTTGAAGAAATCGTTTTTTAGTAACAGTCAATTATATGTTGTTGTTTCATGTGCAACTATTAGGAAGTGACTGAAAATATTAGTTTGTGGGGACGATGAGTTACTCAGTAATCAAACTAATAATGTTGTGTACAATGAGACTTTTAATAATGTATGACTTATTATTACCAACGAATAAATTATGATTACTTTACAAATGTCTTACGAAATATAATTTATTTAGTAATAGATTTCAACTTATAATTATTTTTAAAAATAACTATAGTCTGTGCATCACACGGGTTACATACTAGTAGTAGCAAAATAATCTAACATTGAAGATATAACTTATTTGGAAACTTAATAATATATGCATTAATTGCTTGCATATACATGTTTTCAAATCAGATCAAATCGAATATGATTGTAATGCAAAATTTCGTATTATTGAATTAATAAACACGAGAAATTCGTACAAATAAATTTTCGACGAATCAAAAGAAATATAGTGGATTACAAATCTCTATTATTCCTCTGATTAATTTCTTCAAGAACGATCTTCAAATAGACTTGAGACTTTTGGAGACTAATCTTCAGTTTGATCTCCGCCGGTCTTGAATTTGGATTTGAATAACGTTTCTTCGAGGGCTTGACAGCTTGATCTCGAATCGAACGCCGTGATTTCCCAAGAACGTGAAGAACACGAGTCCTTGGTCTTCGCCGCAAAGTTGATTTTGATCTTCTCTACGTCGGTCTTGACTTTAATAACGTAATTCGGAGGCTTGACAGCTTGTTTCCGGATTGAACGTCGGTTTTGGGCTTGAACGTGCTTGAATCTTCCTTCGGGTCTTCAAGAACGCCTTTGAATCTTCAAAAACACTTGAACTTTAATAACGCAATCCGGAGGCTTGGCAGCTTGTTTCCGAATTGAACGTCGGTTTTGGGCTTGAACGTGCTTGAGTCTTCCTTCGAATCTTCAAGAACGCCTTTGGATCTTCAAGAACACTTGAATATTGTGGAGAGAATTCTCTAGAGCTCTTGAACTTGAATATGACTTGTGGACTTGAATATGAATTGTCTTTTTCTTCCACCTTAGGGAGGGTCCCTATTTATAGGT